ATATATATATATATATATATTAAAATTTTAATAGAGAGCCAACTGGAGCTTTCGGTTGGTGGTCGAAAGGCAAGACCAAATAAACCAATGGATATAAACATCACATGTTTCTAAGATTTTTATAGGGGACATCTGTGGGACTCGTGGAGAAGATATTTTGAGGAGGGGATCTAATTATTGGCTATCAATTTGACAGGTGGATTTATTTTATACGGGACATTTGTGGGACCCATGAGAAGATATTTCGTGGAAGGATTTTATTAATGGCTATGAATTTGACACGTGGATGTAATCGATATCTTTCATTGTGGCTTCCAAGTTCTCGTGTGTAATCTAATTGGTCTAAGATTTTGAAAATTCAAATTACTCGCTTTTTAATTGGAGGGAGTTCTCTATATGATACAGAATTTTCAATTGTTAATAATGGTGATACGTGTAAGACATGATCCAAATGACACGAGTCGAGTTCAAGTTTTCAGGTATAGACCGTCATTGTTTAGAAATTAGAACAAATAATATTTTGAATAGTAATTTTTAAGTGAGTGTATAATTAAAAAATAGAAAAAAATTTGAAACTTACGTGCAAATGTTTTTATCATATGAATACGTGATTGAAAATGAATATATATATTAAAAAAAATTCAAATAATGGTGATCAAATAAGGACATTTTTTGGGCAAATAAATTTTAGCCCCCAATTTGTCTTCCATTAAATCAAATTTTTTTTGTTATTTCAAACTCATTTTCAACTGTATATTGACACAATAAAATATTTTTTACGTAAACTTTAAAAAAAAAAATCTTATTTTTTAAATACACGTTTTTCAAAAAATCACTATTTTAAACCTCATTTACCTGAAAAAAAAACTCATTTTAGCTCTTGTTTGAAAACTATTATTTTGTGAAAAATTAAATTTTGAATATTGATTTTTTGGAGAATACAGATTAAAAAATAAGAAAAAGTTTTACGAAAAAATCTTACCTTCAAATTTTCGTCAACAAGAGTGCAAAATTTTACGGATTGGCTGGTTGTTAAACCAAACATATGTGGGAAAAAAATGTACTAGACAATTAACTACAATAAATGCGTATTTTCGCTTCTAGTTGACGACATTCAAAAATCCCATTCACAATCCACCATTGTCTTCATTCTTGACAATAAGAAAGATTTTAATTTTTGGTAATAGTTATAAGCATATTTGAGAGTATTTAAATTAAATTTTAAGTGATTATAAATCATACGTCCTGCAAAAAGTGTAAATAAATAAGTAAATGATAATCGTTACCTATATGAAATGGAGGGATATAATATATATTTCACGAGCTTAAATTATAATAGAATAGTTTATAATGCCAAATCCAAATAACTTCAGACATGCAATAATTATGTTGCATAATTTATATGCTTAAACAGTTTTCACGTAGGTAAATGTATAGTTGTCAGACTCGACTTAGACAACGCGACGAGTCAACCGATAATCCGGTGGTTCAATCGATGGGTCAATTCTTATCAAATATATTATTAATTATTTTCATTGAACAATAAAATTTTACCATTTTCTACAATAACTAAATTAACCCCATATTATTTTGTTAATTACATATCAATACGTATCCCAAATTTTACAAATTGTAAATCATACGTAGTCAAATATGCATTTGAAACAATAAAAACAACAATCAGTGATTAAAAAAAAAAAAACTACTTTATCTAACGAAGCTCGAGCTAAACCTAGCAATACATCTAATTAATGTTCATAATGAAATTGAAACTGGAACTACAAAATGTCTTGGTGACCATTTTGGAATTAACCCCACAAAAGCCTATCTCATTCTACTCAAAGAATTAAAATAATAATAATAATAATAATAATAATAATAAGATATTTCGCCAATGAGACCTCCCCTTTAAGCCGGTCATTCTCGATTCTTTTTCCAATATTCGTTGCTATTTCTCATCACCTCAATCAATCAACTAAACACGACAGCAATTTTCTTATTATAGTCGATTTAAACAATAATAAGTTAACGGTGGAAGATTTGTATGATTTAGAAAAAATATCCAACGTACAAATCAAGTTGGTCGAGTTTTTTTAGCAAAATACATCTGACAGAGACAAACCCATTCTCCCATTTCTTAAAACTTGAAATTGGAGATTTGGATTCATGGGAGTGATTGAATTGCAAGAGATTGGAGATAGCGGCTGAGCTTTTTGATTTTGCAAGAATCCCTGATTACGAATTGTGTTTCAGAATTTGTGAGGACAATGGGGGTGTGAAAAGTGGAAAGATAGAGAAACGTGGCTTAGTTAAGACAGGATGGGTCAAGGAAAAGTGGAACACTAGTTTTATTAGAAATTGGTGGTTCAAAGGGGTGGATAGCGGATTGTTTGTTCAGTCATAAATCCATTAAAATCATACCGAACCTGAGTCCGATTTAATGGTTTTCAAATCGAACCGATTAGTCTGGTCCGGATTTTATAACCATGAACACGTCGTCCGTCATCTATCCTGAAGAGGTGGCTAGGATTCGAATTTAACATGTTTGGGAAGCCATTTTTTATTAAATATATTTTTTATCCGTACATTTTATTGGACTTTCATTTTATAATTTATTTTCATATATAAACTAAATACTAGATAGGTTTTTATTTAAAATGTTATTGAATAGGACTAGACAAAATACCATATCGCAATTGTACTATCCGGTTCGATGTAGTTATGCTTAAATAAAAAAAAAAAATTTTGTTGCTCTATAAATAACAGTCTCACATATGTTGCTTTTACATGTAAATTCGTAAAAAATATTGATTTTTAATGAAAAAGGAGGTATATTTAAAAATTATAAAAGTAGGTATATTAATTTTAATGAACAATGGGTATTTTTGAAAATTTGTAAGGAGACATTTTAAAGTTCTTTGCACAAAAGTAGGGTATTTGTGAAGTTATCCCACTTACATATTGAGACTAGCTCAATGCTTCAACTGTGAGAAAGAATTAGGGATCGTTCTCTTCGTGTTTTAGTTTTGAATTCATTTTGTGTTTTCTGTTTTAAGTGTCTGTTTTGAAATTACTGAAAATTCGTTCTCTTTGTTATTCTGAAAAACTGTTTCTCAAAATAGAAAACTTGAAAACGCGTTTACTTTTAAATTTTGAAATTTTTTTTATAATATTTTATTCAATAAATCTAATCATTCAATAAATTTAATAGTTTAATATTAATCTATTGAAGAAAAAAATTAATGAGCTAACATTGCTAAAATTCTCTCATTTAATTCAAAAGCTTTGT